TCGGTTTTCTGCCATGCAGCAGCTCGAATGGTGTAAACCCGGTTGTTTCTTGAGCTGCGGTGTTGTAGGCGAACCTGACGTATGGTAACACCTTGTCCCACGTCTTGTGCTCGACGTTGATGTACATGGAGATCATGTCGGCGATCCTCTTGTTGAGACACTCCGTTAGGCCGTTGGTCTGCGGATGGTGCGCGGTGGTCCGACGATGGCTGATGTGGCTGACCCAAAAAATCTCTTGCGTGAGCTGAGCCAAGAACGATGACCCTCGGTCGGTTATCAAAGCTTCGGGGGCACCATGTCTAAGGAGAACAGACTCGACGAAAAACTTGGCGGCTTCCACCGCTGTTTCCGACGGAAGGAATTTTGTCTCGGCGTATCGTGTAAGATAATCGGTCGCGAGGGTAATCCAACGGTTTCCTTGCGTCGATGTTGGGAACGGCCCAAGTAAATCCATTCCGACCTGCTGGAAGGGCATAGTCGGGGCAGATATCGGCTGCAGGAGCCCTGCTGGCTTTGTCGGAGGCTTCTTACGTCGTTGGCACTCATGGCACGACCGTGTATACAAATTGACGGTTTTCGGGAGTCTCGGCCAATAGTACTTCTCACGAATTCGGGCGAGCGTCCTGCTGTAGCCAAGGTGTCCAGCCGTCGGGTCGTCGTGACATGCTTGAAAGATTTCTTCTCGCAGGCTGTCAGGAACACCCAGCAGTCAGGCAGGGTTGCTGGTTCCGAAGTTCTTTTTGAAGAGCACGCCTCGCCGCAAAATGAAGCTCGCGAATCTCGGGCCAAGAATTGCGGAACAGAACTTCCTTGACCTTCGAGGTGGTTGATCACGGCGCGAAGTTCGGGGTCGTTTCGTTGAAGTGCTCCCATGCCGGTATCTGTAATTGCTTCGAGAAAAAAGGCGTCATCGTCGTCGTCGGTGATGTCGGGAGTAGCTTCGACTGGGGCCCTAGAGAAACAATCGGCGTCATTATGCTTGAGGCCAGACTTGTGCGCAATGGTCACGTCGAATTCTTGCAGTTGAAGGCTCTAGCGAGCGAGGCGTCCTGACGGGTCCTTGAGGTTGGCGAGCCAACAGAGAGCGTGGTGGTTCCTGACTACGCGAAACGGGATCCCGTACAGGTACGGGCGGAACTTCGTTAACGCCCAGACGGCAGCGAGACATTCCTTGTTGGTTGTTGAGTAAATTTGCTTTGCCTTGGACAGTGCCCGACTTGCGTAAGCAAACCCTCTCTGCTCCGTCTTGTCTTTGGACGAGCACCGCACCTAGCCCGGTGTTGCTGGCGTCTGTGTGAACTTACGTTTCCGCTGATGGATCGAAGTGTCCGAGGATATGGGGCGACTGGAGTCTTTCCTTCAGTTCGTTTAAACGCTTGTTCTTGCTCGCCCCCCCGGTGGAAGTTCATGTCGCCCTTCGTTAGATGCGTGAGCGGTGCAGAAATCTTGGCAAAGTCGCAAACAAAACGTCTGTAGTGAGCTCACAGCCCAAGAAATCTTCGTACGGCTTTCTTGTCTGATGGCTTCGGAAATTCGGCGACAGCGGATGTCTTTGCAGGGTCAGGAATTACACCTTAAGCACTCACGACGTTGCCCAGGAATTTAGCTCGCGGTAAGCGAACCGACTATTTGACGGCTTCCGGCATTCTGGATAGCCTGTAGCACGGCTCGCAAACGTCTCGGGTGCTCGTCGAAGTCGCTTACGAGTACCACGACGTCATCGAGATAGACGAGACAACTTTTCTATTTTAAGCCAGAAAGAACGATGCCCACTGCGCGCTGGAAAGTCACCGGTGCTGTGCACAGTCCTAACGGCATCACTTTCAATTCTTACAACCCATCCGGCGTGACAAGGGCAGTCTTTTCACGATTGCGTTCGTCGACCTCAATCTTCCTGCACCCACTCTTCAGGTCCATCCACGAAAAGTATTGGGCGTGGCGCAGCCGGTCCAGAGTGTCGTAGATGAGTGGCAGCGGGTATACGTCCTTTTTTGTTAGGGCGTTCAGTCGGCGATATTCCACGCAGAACCGAAGAGTCCCGTCTTTCATTTTCACCAGGACTACCGGTGGAGCCCACGGACTGCTTGAGGGCTGGACAATGTCGTCATCGAGCACTTCTTTAACAAGCTTCTGGATGACTTCTCTCTCTTTCACAGAGACAAGGTACGGCGAGCGATGAACACGAAGCGCGTTGTCTTCAGTGAGAATTCGGTGTTTCGCAACGGTCGTTTGGCGCATCTTTGATGACGTGGAGAAGCACTCATTGAACTCGGCGAGAAGGTCACTTAGTTGCCGTCGTTGGGAAGTAGGCAGGGTTGGGTCGATGACAAACTGCGAAGGCGGCGTTGTCTTGGGCGGCCACGAAGAGGGTTCTGATATTCCGGCGATTCCGGCTGAGTCCGGGAGTTCCTCGGCGTGACCTACGGCGGTGCCTTTCGTAAGGTGCTGGGCCTCCTGTCGGAAGTTCGTTACGAGCGCGAGAGTGTGTCCGTGTTGGAGCTCCGCGACGCCTCTTGCGATGCCGATCGCTCTTCCTAGAAGCAACTGGAGGCTTCCTTTGAGCAGAACGTCGCCGCAAAAAGTCTCATCGACCCCGACGGGTACGAAAACACATTTGACCGCGGCGGTAAGTTCACGTGGTTTGCGAGGACTCGTACCGCGGATGACGTCGCTTTGGGTTTCTGCGGTAGTGGAGCAGGTTTTCGTAGCGTCAGCCGGTTTGCTCCGAGGTCGATGACGGCGCCATACTCGCAGAGAAGGTTCATTTCGAGGAAAACATCCGTCGAACAATCTTGCAGAGCGAGGAACTTGACAGGGCACGTCTCACCGTGCATTTTGACTCGAGCAGGGCACCTCACGACAGGCGTAATGAGGTGGCCTCCAGCAGTTCGTATTTGCGGCCCCTCCCACGGCCTCGTCCCTTTTCGAAGGCGGCGAGAGAGCCTCCCACGCAAGACTGAGTCGTCTGCTCCGGCGTCCGGGAGTGCCGATGCGTCGTGACCGTCGATGATAACGTTTAGGTTATTGAACACCGATGCAGGCGCGTCGTTGTGATGCGGGGCGTCGGGAGAGTGCGAGCGTTCCGTCGTTCTTGGAGGCTCTTTGCTTCGGTCGTCTTCGGCAACGCCACCTCCAGGCGTCCGGACTTAGTTTTCCCACGAGATAGGGGCGACAGGCCGTCCCGACGAGAGCGGCGGAAGGGCGAAAGCGCACGTGGAGGCGAAGGCGAACGGGAACCTCGGGGTGGAGTCGGCACCGGGGACAGGGGTCGTCGGAGGTACTCCTCGATGTCCCTTGGTCGCTCCTCAAGGCGGGGTCGCGGGTCGCTCGGCGCAAAGCCTCGCAGGCCCATTTGTCAGTACGGGCACCTCCGGTGGACGTGATCGGCCTCGCCGCAGTGGTAAAACAGCGGCCGTCGATCGGCCGTGCGCCACACATCCGTCTTTTTTGGCGCCTGTTGTCCAGTGCGGACAAACTGGGGTTGCCCTTCCCGACGTCGGAAAGTCTGGCTCTGGTAGGACACGTCGTAGTGGCGTCGAGTACTGCTGGGCAGCTGGCACCGGTCTTCGAGCTACCGCGGCGTAGGTCGAAAAGGGCTCCTCGGGTGCTGCTGCGCTGGCAGGAGCCTCAGGTTGGAATGCCCGCTGGACTTCCTCGCAGACAACTTCGGCTATTCACACTGAAGCCGGCTGGTGGGTAGCAGGCAGGAGCTTCTTAATTTCCTCCCGGACGACGTCCCGGATGATCTCGCATATGTCCGGGGTGTTGCTGCTCTACTGCGAGAGTGCAGCGAAGCCAAAGAGTCTCTGATAGTGGGAGGCGCGTGCTTGAAGGGCACGTTCGATATTTGTTGCATCGGTGATGAAGACTTGGACGGTGATAGGCGGGTTCCGCACAAGGACTCGGAAGATGATTTCTTTTACTCCTCGCATCAGAACCGCAGCTTCTTCTCTTCAGGAGCGTTTGGGTCGGCGCGGTTCATGAGGCGGAGAACGTCCTAGAATAAACTTGTGACGCTCTCGTTCGGCCCTTGGCTTCTTGCTTGAAGAAGTTCTTGGCCCGCTGAAGTCGCTGCTGGCTGGCAAAAGTGCGTTGAAGTTCCGCCTGGAAATCTTGCCACGACGAAATTGACGCTTCGTGGTTCATGAACCAGGTGCGTGCAGTGCCTTCCAGAGCGAACTAAACATTTCGCAGGCTCTGCTCAGGACCCCATCCGTTGAACCGTGCGAAGCGTTCCCAGACAACACACCGTATCCCAGGGATGTCCCAAAAACCTCCCGACTTCGCAAACTCCAATTTTAATATCCCTAGGACCTCCGTGGGACATCCGTTAGTGAATGATCCCGAAAACTTCCCCGTGGGATGTCCCTCGGAAATCGGTCACCGGATGAACTGGGGATGTTAAAGGGTCAAAAAGTTTTAACAATAATTTTTTTTTTTTTTTTTACGTTAGAGTCTACGCAGGTTTTTCTGTGTTGACGTCCGAAATTTAAAATATTATGGTAAAGGTGGACAGCGAGCGGTCTGTCGGATAACGGTACAACGCCCCAAGTATATGCACGTGCGACCCCGCGTTCGACGGTCCGACACGAAGGGTGCCTTCGTGTTGGACACGGGGACAAGCACCATGAAGAACTTTTTTTCTTGTTCCGTAATGGGGCCAGTTTCGTTTTTCTCACATAAAATGATAAGTTCGGCTTGACATCTCTTGAATACAATGCACAAGCACATACACTTGGAGTTTCCTCTAAAAATTAGCTTAGTTTCAGTTTCGGTACTGCAAATGTTTTAAAAAACGAAAACGTTAGACATTAGTATTAGTCCGTTCCTTAAACTATGCACTACTGTAAAAAAGTGTGGAGGGAGGTAGCGAAAATTAATTAACGTGTACATACTAAGTTTTATTATTACTAAACCAAGCATGTATAACTACTGTACAACCGAAGTCAGTTGGAGTCTGGCCACATTGGTCATGCTCTGGCAGCTTTCGCGCCAAAAAACGGAAACCGGTCCTCGCTTTCAACTCCTAGCTATTTTCTCCGCTCCGATTGTTCTGGTCTTTGAATGAAAAAAACCAAACACGGACGCGAATTTGACAGACAGTTGAGCAGAGCTTGGAATACCGTTGGTACCCCTGGCGCGTTGCTGCACCCATGGAAAGCATGGAAAATCAACGAGCTACTCCAGGTAACGTTTTGTATTTACACGTGCCACTTAGTGCGGGAAGCGTGTTCTTGCCACTTGTGTGTGCACGCAAAGGCCGTGGTGTGTAACCTGCTTACCGATGGACCAACCTCCAAAGACCACGTTTTATAGGCGAGCGCGTAAAAGGGCCTTTGAAGATCTGCATGCTCTAACGGCCGATGAAGTTTTCCAAGTGGGCCAGCTTGGCGACGGCTCGATCCCGGTTGAAGAGCAGCATGGCCGAAGAGAGCGGAGCCATCTGCTTTCAACATTCAACTCCGACTTCGAGAGCTTGGAGCCAGATGAAGCCCAACGTGCTGACCTCCGGCCTCAGCCAATTTCAGAGAGCTCAGGCTCCGAGCTCTCGAGCTCGGAGCCAGATGAATTCGACCGAGTTGACTTCCAGCCTGGGGACAATCCGGAGAGCTCAGGCACAGAGTTTGAGAGCTCGGAGGCAAATGAATTCGACCGAGCTGACCTACAGCCTCAGAACATTCCGGAGAGCTCGATTCGATATGAAGAGAAGAGAAATTGCGAGGATGCGGACGTTCATGAATCGATTGTAGGAAAACTCCGGAGCTGGGCTCTTGACACGGCTACGCCTCACCGCGCACTCACTGAGCTTCTGAAGATTTTGCAAACTCATTCCTGTTTTGCATCAATCCCCGGCAGTGCTAGATCACTGCTTAAAACCCCCAGAAAGGCATGTGTAGAGAAGATGGGAGCCGGCAAATACTGCCATTTCGGTGTGAAGGAAGGACTTGACGATACTTTGAAACGAGCACGTTTTGTGCCAGACGTCATCAAGATCAATGTAAACATTGACGGTCTTCCGCTCACAAAAAGCACCCGTGATCAGTTCTGGCCTGTGCTATGCCATGTGACCAATTGCGGGAAATGTGACCCCTTTCCCATTGGTGTTTACTATGGCAAATCAAAAGCCGTTTGTGCGGAGGAATTTCTGCGGCCTGCTGTGTCCGACATCATTGAAGCACTGAGCGACGGATTAATCTTCAAGGGCAGGCATTTGCGAATCGAGCTTTCTGCGCTCATCTGTGATGCTCCCGCAAAGTCCTATGTCCTCGGCATCAAGGGCCACAATGGTTACTTCAGTTGTACAAAATGCCAAACAGAAGGTGACTTTCTCAATGGTCGCATGTGCTTTCCGCAGCTTGATGCCACGTTGAGAACGGATGGGCGTTTCCGAAGCCATGCACAAGAGGAACATCATCTCCAAAGAACTGAACTGGAAAAGCTTCCTATTGATCTAGTGAAGAACGTTCCATTGGACTATATGCACCTTGTCTGTTTAGGTGTGGTTTCTAAGCTCCTGAGATTATGGCTCAAGGGTGACAGCAGGTGTCGGTTAGGCACGGCTGCACGAGATGCTATATCTTTAGCCAACCTTGAGATTGAACGGTACATCTGTTCTGATTTTGGTCGAAAGCCCAGAAGTCTGCTCGACTTAGACCGCTGGAAGGCGGTAGAATTTCGGCTGCTTGTGTTATACACAGGGCCCATTGTTCTTTACTCGAGAGTTCCAGAGCCTTTCTTCTTCAACTTCATGACTCTGCACGCTGCCATCACAATTCTCAGCAGCCCAAAACTTTGCCTTGAGTATGTGGACTATTCTGAACAACTGCTTGTACATTTTGTCGAGACCTACATTTCATTGTATGGAAAGGATAAGGTGTCGCATAACGTGCACAACCTTATCCACATTGCGAATGATGCACGCACTCATGGACCCTTGGATGGGTGGAGTGCATTCCCTTTTGAGAACTTTATGGGGACATTGAAAGTCTTTCAAAGGAAACCCGAGAGACCCTTGGAGCAACTCTACAACAGAATCACTGAGCGCAGAAGTATGTTTGTGAAGACAATGTTCAAGGATAAAAATCACTTTTTTCATGAACATGTCAATGGCCCACTGTCTGTTGGATGTAAAGGCCCTCAATACAAGGCTGTTCAAATCCCTCACAAATTTACGTTGAGGACTCGCATCAATGACAACACCTGTATGCTCAACGATGGTGACATCATCATGATCCAGAACTTCGCTTTTTGCTCCACGTCTGGCCAGGCACTGGTGATCGGCAAGCGGTTCGAGAGCTCAAGTGACTTGTATACCCACCCCTGTCCGTCGTCAATGCTTGGTGTTGTGCTGGCGTGTAACCCTTCCGTCACCAAATCGTGGCCACTTTCAGATGTTGCCCAGAAATGTGTCCGAATGCCTTACAAGGGGAAATTTGCTGTCTTTCCTTTACTTCATTTGCAGTAATGTCACCTCTTTCAACTTTGGTTGTATATTGATCTGCAATCTTCATTTGTTGACAGAATATTTCTTTTTTATTTATCTAGATGACAAAAAGTTTGGAGTTGTCAAATTCGTTGGTGACAATACCGTCGCCGTTATTCATTTAAACTGGGTGGATGGGGCTGACTGCTTTTGGCCGACTGCAACACACAAGAATCTTGGTGCTCTCACCTTGGAAGGTGCCCAGCCACAGCCAGATTGGAAGAAATCCCGTTTTGCTTCCTTAGGATGGTATGGTAAGTGGAAAAAACTGCTCGAGATATTCTAGCAACTGAATGCTTGGTGGAGACATAGCAATCCCTTCTTTTTTACAGACACTTACCAGAAAGCCAGAAGCAAGTTGCCGACGGCCGAGTTGACATCGGACCTTTGTAGCGACGTGGAGATGGGTCGTGGGAGAAGGAAAAAAGCCAAGAGGATTTTGTATAGTGAAACTGAATCTGAGGGTGAAGAGACCTACCAGCCACCCAAACCGCCAACTCCACCATGCTTTAAACCAACAACGAAAAGTGAGTGGTTTACTCCGTAAGCAGCAAACTGAGCGCACCTCTACGGAAGGTATTTGCTTTTTGACATTTCACATGTCTGAGTTCTTCAAGTTCTTGTTTCAAATATAACTCGGGCATGTTTATTTCTCCAGGCGTCCGCTGCAGACGTAAAGTGCCCCAGGTTCGAGAAAAGACTTACAAGCCCTCCGGCAAGCGAGCACATGGTAGTAAATGTTAATTGCTTTTGGTGCTTTGTTTCAATGCCTTAGCAGAATTGCTTCAATATTCCTTGGTTGGTGCTGTATTCTTAGCATGTGATTTCAGCGACAATGGATTCATCATGTCTTTTTAGGCAGCCACCGCCTTTTTAAAGGCTGATCCATTACCTCGGTACCAATCAGCAACCAAGGATTCATTGAAGTTGAACCCAGTAGGCAGGCGAACTAGTAAAGGATAGACGTAGTAACCCTGGAGTGGGGGCAAAAAGGATGGACACAACACGGAGCTTTGTGTTTGTGGTCATCTTTTTTGTCCTCACGCTGCAGAGTTCCGATGTCTAAGAATTCATGTGGAGAGGCTAGACATGGTACGAAATATTCATCGCTCCTACGGCTAATGCGTGGTCTCTCTTTCAGGCAGTCGGCGTAAATCTCATGAGAAATTGTCGCCTCAGCACCATTCACCAACAAGTTATTTCTCTCAAGAGAAGACACACGGTAATAAACATCTACCACTTTTGGAGCTTTTCTGTGGTGGGGTTGTCTTGTATTATGTTTAAAGTAAGGTGAATGCATGGTTTATTTTTCAGGCAGTCACTGTGAATCTCATGGCGAGCTGTCATCTCGGCACCGTTCACCAACCAGTCATTTCTCTCAAGAGTGGACACATGGTAACAAGCATTTATCACTTTTCGAGCTTTTTCTCAACACCACTCCAGGATAGCTTTCCTGTGGTGGGGTTGTCTTTCTTGTATCATGTTTAAAGTATGGTGAATGTTTGGTTTCTTTTTCAGTCAGCCGCCATGAATCTCGTGGAGAGCTGTCACCTCAGCACCGTTCAGCACCCAGTTATTCCTCTGAACAGTGGACACATGGTAATAGATATTTATTACTTTTGGAGCTTTCTCTCAACACTCCCAGATAGCTTCTCTGTGGTGGAGTTGTCTTTCTACTATGTTTAATTTATTGCAAATGCATGATTTCTCTTTCAGGCAGTCGCCGTGAGCCTCGTGGAGAGCTGTCACCTCGACACCGTTCAGCAACCAACTATTCCTCTCAAGAGTGGACACATGGTAATAGACATTTATTATTTTTGGAGATTTTTCTCAACACCACTCCAGGATAACTTTTCCATCGTGAGGTTGTCATTCTTGTATTATCTTTCAAGTACGGAAAATGCATAATTTCTCTTTCAGGCTGTCGCCGCGAGCCTTGTGGAGAGCTGTCAACTCGGTGCCGTTCAGCAACCAGTGATTCCTCTAAAGAGCGGACACATGGTAACAAACATTTATCACTTTTGGATCTTTTTCTCAATACTTTTCCAGGATAGCTTTGCCTTTTTTAAGGTGATATTGCCTTAATTGTATATACCGTAATGTACCGAGCAAGCGCCCTCTCAAAATTTGGAGATAATCGCGAAAAAATGGGGGATTCTCGTTAGGTGATCAATTTCACCTATATTTGTACTGCGCATAATCTTTGAGATGCTACAATATTTGGAGGTGGGCGCTTAGTGTGGAATGGGCGAACACCCAGTATTTTACGGTACTTTCTAATATAGTGCACACAAGATTTTTCCATCAGATACTCGCCGTGCATTCCATAAAGAAACGTCGCCTCGCAGTCAAGCGAGCAAGTCACCTGCTTGGTGGGAACATGGTGAAAAAAGTTTGTTTTTTGTTTGCTTGATTTGTTTATGGAAGACAGGAACCTAACTTGTGCTTTAATGAGGGAACTTGTTTACAAACCAGCATAGTCCGTGCTTCGTTTGGCTGATTTCACTGCTTTGGAAGTTATTATCTCGAGTGCCTTTTGATATCTGCCCTATTGTGGTAATTCAGTGCTAGAAGAGCTCTGTTACATATCTCTTTTCTCCCGGGAACCATTCCATCTATAGACAGCGGAGGGTTACTAACTGTCTTCATGGACACATAAGTTATTAGTCTTAGTCTATTTGCAATATTTGGGACTAAGTTTGAACCTGTTTACTGTGGATGTGCATTGTTATACAGATCAGGCTTGAACCGCAATTTGCGCTCAATTTCTTTGCCAGGAGGCCGTTCCATGTCCCCTTTGACTCCGAGACATGAGCAAGCAAGCCAAGAACACGGTAATAAATCCAAATTTTTGTGGCATATCCCATTTTCAAAAAAACAATCCCTTTTGCTATTTGAGCACACACTATAAATCTTTCTCTTACTATTATGTTACATTGTTCAGATGGTGCTTCAAATCCTATTTAAGCATACTTTTGCTGTTTCACAGGTGATCACATTTTGAAAGACGGACAGCCTTACACTCATGGCCCGAGTACATCAACATCCAGCCAGCAGTTGAGTGGTGATGACATTCAATTGTTTTCTTAAGACTAGATACCTCTTGCTCTAACATATGTTCGTCTGCTGGGGTCGCCTTACGTACAACTTTGTGTGCACTCGTTCTAGGCTTTATGATGCAGGTACTGAAGTCGCTACACATCATGAGACAAACCCAACAACACCAATCTGAGCAGCTGATGATGATCACCGACATGTTACACCATGTGGATGGGCCACCTGCTGAACCTCTAAGCTTTGCACAGTTCGAGACCCTACAGGAATTCCTTGCCTTTGAGAAAGAGTTGACTGCATGCGAACAAAAAAGGGTCCAACTGGTTAGCTCACGTTTGAGATGCACTCTTTTTTATAAGGAGGATAAATCCATACTACTTTTTGTACGGCCTCTGAGGCCTTCACACACCCTCCTGCAGTAGAGGCGACCCATTCCCCACGTCCAGCAAGTTCACATTTACTATCTTTGGTATTTTATTTCAGAAGCAGCAGATGCAAGTAATTGGGGGTGATGATGCGAAAGATAAAACTGCCCGAATTCTTCGCAAAATGCTTTGCCACGAAGTGGGGGCAGCCTTCACATGGTATGGGACCAAGACAAAGGGAAAGTTCTCCAGTCTAGAGTTCTGCAAGGTGATGTGTGGTATGTACCCATGCAGTGTAATGATATCATTCATGATTTTTACTTCGTGTGTGTGGAACGTTTATGAGAAACTCATTTACAATTGGTTAATTTCATTTCCTGTTGGCTCTAACTAATAAAATCATGCTATAAGACATGGTGCTGCAGCTAAGTAACACATCTGCATCTGCTAGATTTTAACCCTAAAATATTTTACAGCTTGCATTACAGCGAGCAAGCCGAAGGAGGTGGCTGTTGGTACCCTGAAGGAAGTTGAAGCCACTACAATGTCATGGCTGCGCCATGCCCAGGAGAGGCTTCAAAAGCATTGCAATAAGTAAGCCTATTCATTTGTGTTAAGCTGAGGTTGCAATGTTAAGGTTCATGAAATTACATGTTGCATGTCCAACTCTGAAATATATGGCCACGGTTCGGAACATATTAAGGAATGGAGCATACCACTCTCAAATGAACTGCATTTGCTTTGGTTGAGGTGTCTACCTGAATAGCTACAAACATGGTCGCACTAGAATAATTAATAATTAAAGCAGACATTCAACAAGGCAGTTTCAACAGGAAATTCAGCTTATCAGCTTGTTCTTCTATCTTCTAGGGATGTGGAAGAACCCGGGGAGGGTCTGTGAAAGCAAGATGGCCGGAAAGCTACGGATAGTCTGCAAGAGCCGGGAAATGGTCTGTGCAAATAAAATAGATGTTACCTTTTCTTACAGATTTGAGTTGCCTTTTTGTTAATGAGTACCTCATCTGGAGTCTTGCAAAAGGGCCGTCTTCACATGCAGTGTGTTTTACATTCTAGTAAACAGGAGGCACTCATTTTGTTAAATGAATACTTGATAATCAGTATATCATGCATGTAATGATGCTGTTTTTCAGGGGTCTTTGGCTACATCCTCAGTAAGAACTGCATTTACAGCTGTGAGGCTGCAAGAGACCCCAGTTGTCATGCCTTGTAAAACTCCTAACACTCACCATAGTGAGATTTACTTTCCTTCAAAACAGCACATGCCATCTCTCCCTTACACCAGAATGTAGAATGCACATCGCCTGTGTTGGCGGCTTGGTACACTGGCTCCAGTGGTTTCGAGTAATTTCAAATGGCATCCGCAAACCAGAATGAGCTGTCCTGTGCAAGTCCCATAGCCATCCAATGTGGGATAATACCTCCCAAAGTAGTCCTACTCGCATCCCGTGAGAGTGCGAAGGGATGTCCACGGGACCTCCGTGGGAACCTCCCATGCCATTGTTTCCAGTGCCATTTGGGACGTCTACGGGAAGTTTAAGGGGGGAATCTGGGATATCCCTGGGATGTCGCTGCCATCCCGGTGGGACTTCCGTAGGACGTCCCTGGGATACATTTGTGTTGTCTGGGTTCGTACTGGCCAACCAGTCGTCCACGTCTTCATCAAGATTGCCACTGAAATTCGGTGGCGTCCTTGGTGGGGCCAGCACGTAGACAATGGACGTCGGTGGCGTTCTCTCTGGCTGCGACGTGGTGTTCATTGTCGGCTTCGATAGGTTCTTTGTCCTGTCCGGTAGTAGTCCATATTCCGGGGGTAGGCCGAGGTTGCGGTTACTTGACCGGGTCTCGGTCCTCTCTTCGTTGGGTCCTCGGGGGCTTGGGGTCGGACTTGCACTGCGAGCCCTCGTAGGGGTGCGCTGAACGGACATGCGTACCCCGCACCCCCACCAAAATGTCACGAATGACAATTGATGGGGCAATGATAACTGAAGAAACTAAACGTTTAATTGGGCGTACTTGCGCCGAAAACAAAAAGGGGACAGAAGAAAACAGCAGAGCGTCGCGTGCGTCGATGCCGGCGAAACCGCAGGATCGAGCGGTGGTGCGAGACTGCCTTGGCTCGCCACGGGAAGCACCCATTATGTATAGTGCTAATCACAGTTGTCTAAAACGCCCGAGCGTGCGGCTTTTTCCGGAGAGCGCTAGACTGGTGGCACTCGCGGAAACTAAGCTGGTCACGTGGTGCAACATGAAACGACCCGCTTGAGGGGTGTCCTGCCCACTCTATCTGCTGGCGGCGAACGCGGAAGGCTGCTCGCACGCTTTTTACAAACATCACTACTCGAACAAGCAACAAACTAAATCATGAAGGCGTATCAACGATGTCGTCGTCAAAAAACAAAAATGTATCACAAAGCACTTTACTTCTATCGCTTATCAAACTGACAGAGTGGGCAGGACACCCCTCGAGTGGGCCGTTCCATGTTACGCCACGTGACTAGCTTAGTTTCCGCGAATGCCACGAGTCTAGCGCTCTCCGGAAAAAGCCACACGCTCGCGCGTTATAGACAAGTGCGATTAGCACTGTACACGCGTGGGCTTCTGGAATGGTCGGCGTAGAAGGTTGAACGAGTAGAACATTTTAACCTCGAATTAGCAACACGGTTCTAGAATTTACGAGTACGTAAGATCAGAGAAAACAACAATGCGTACCCGCGGCCAGGAATCGAATCCTGGCTTTCTGCGTAATAGCAGAGCGCGATAACCGTTAGGCCAGGAGCGCGCTGCCTGCTTGGTCAGCTGCGCTCGCGGCAATATCACAAATCGAAACGACGTACAGACTTGAATTGAGGACAATTCAAACTTTGTAGTGGGTCCTGTTAGGAGTGAGGGTAAGAAAAAAAGGAGGAGGAGGATAGGGATGTTCCAGCACCGACGATGCCAAACGATATGTAAAGCTTTCTGATTAAATCAGTTTTTTTTTAATCTCAACATCGTAAAGGTTTTGGCGTCATATGCTGAAAGTGCTGAGTAGCTGTTATTTGCAGATGACATTAAGTTTTTTTATTAATATTCATGCTCTTGGTCGACTGCGAAGTTTTACAGAATGATATGTCGCGCATAGTTCTGTGGTGCAAAGTGAATAACGACTGTCTTGTCGCTGTGCAGACGTCGTAACGTATTACATAACGATTATGTGCCAAAAAGAACTTCAAGCAAAGACATCTTTGCTGTAAGAGACCTTGGCGTGAGCATAAATAATGAAGTGACGTTTACTTCGCATGTGCGCTCTATTGTTGGCAGTGAGGCAAAGATGTTCAGACTGAGTTTTCGCATCACGAAGCAATCAAAAATCATGCCTGCGTTATTCGCTTATTTTGCTCTCTAGTTACGTCAACGCTCGAATTGGGTTCTGCAACTTGAAACTATTTGCCAGAAACGCAGTCAACAAGAATTGAAAGTCTGCAAAAACGCTTAATACGCATCGTTTACGAGCGCTTTTTTTCAGTGCCGTTTTTATTTTGATTACAAATTTCCTCTAGATAAGTTTTTGCTGAGATCATTGTTCTACAGAAGAACTAAACGCGACTTGATTTTTTTGCACAACATATTAAATGAAAATATAGATAATTATTCGCTTTTATATAATGTTAATATCCATGTCATCTTTCGTTTGACTAGAGACCACTATACTTTTAATGTGATTACCATGTGTAGATCTTCGCCGTTGTCACACATGCAATCACTGTTCAATTGCTCTGACAATCCAGGTATTGATATATTCAGCGACGCTTCCATTTACTGCAAGCAAATACAAGGGATCGCTACCTATCTGTGATGTGTGTTTTGTTTTTTGTGTAAATTTGGCCTTTAGTCGTTCTTTTGCACCAATCTGTACATTTCGTGTTGTTTTTGGGCACACGAAAATAAAGATTTTTTTTACTATTATTATTAATATTGTATTATTATTTTTATTATAGCTTAAAGAGCGTATGGAAAAACTACATTGCATCATTATTTCAGGTGACCCGAGAGAATAGCCAATCAGCGACTGAGGCAGTTATCTACAACAGTTTCATAGGGCGTTCCGCAAGATTTTGATCTCGGACCACTCTTATTTTTTTGTCTTCAGCAAATGCACGACTCGTTACATCACTGTAAAACTGTGCTTGTTTGCGGACGACTTCGTTTTGAACACGAAAGTCCGCGATAAAAATTACCAGATCAATTTAAATTGTTGTCTTCACAAAAATAACGCCTGGCGTTTGACCTGAAAAATGTCACTCAATCATATAAAAAGGTGTATATGCACATCATCCGCAAGCGTAAAAAGTTAACCTTTCATTACTCTTTAGGGAACAATGATCTCTCGGAAGTTTTATCGTATAAATACTTAGGAGTCATCATCAGCAAAGAGTTAGGTTTGAATGATAATATCAATTATATAATACGCAAGGCACTCCCGAAGTTTTGGTACCTTCGTGGGAAATGAAAACATCTTAATGTTGACGTAAAAGTAGAAGCTCATCAAACTTTTGTTAGATCTGTACTTGTGAGCGCAGCTCTTATATGCGACCCTTACTCTGCTCAAAACATTTCTTCACTAGAAAATGCACAGCGAAAAACACTTCGTTTTGTCTTTAATAAATGCAGCAGCTTGGAATCTGTCTCCTTTCTTTATGATCGTTCCGGTCTGCCCCACTTCAAAATAGAGGCAAGGTGTACATAGTTTTTTTCTGGTTATGTAAATTTAGATTTATAAAACTTGAGCGTCTGAATATTGATAGTTCTTTAATTAACTGGATTCGGGTATTCTTGAGCAACAGAACGAAGGCAGTTTCTTTTCATTGTACTGTTACTTATAATATTAATGTGAAGTCTGGAGTTCCTCAGGCAACAGTTTTGGGCCCCTAGTTATTCCTTATCTATATTATTCATATTGACAATTGCATTTACTCCACAGCCAGACTCTTTGCAGACGTCTACTTCATTTATAGAATTGTCAAAAAACCAGACCGACTGTCTCTCAATGAAGCATGACTTAGACGCCCTCTCTTTGTAGTGTGATCGCTGACAAATGATCATCAATACCTCAAAATCTAAATTCATGGGCTCCTCCACAAAAAAATTCACTAAGTTTCAACTACTCAATAGGTCAACTATCAAACGAGAAAGTAAGTAATTAGAAGTATCTAGGGGTTATTTTGAGCGAGAACCTACACTGGCAAGATCACGCAATTATATTGCTAGCAAGGGCTCATTAGGTTTTCTAAGGCGAAATATATATCTGGCACCTCCGGTCATTCGCTTACTCGCTTACAACTCATTAGTTTGGTCTCAATTAGAGTATGCTTCTCTCGTATGGAATCCTTCTCAAGACTACCTAATTAAAAAAATAGAGTCAATTCAAAACAGGGCACGCAGAATTATTTACAAAGATTATTCTCGACACACAAGCGTAACTCAGCTGAAAGAAAAGGCAGACTTGCCACTTCTCTCTGCCGGAAGAAAACTTTCTAGGCTAAACTTCATCCATAATATTCATTATATGAATCCACTCCTCAAGCTTGAACATTTAAA